TTCCAGTTCACCATTTGCGCGAACCCAAATCATTTGAATCCTAGAAACGCCCGAAGTTTTTCTGCATCTCGGAGTCCGAGACGCAAATTTGTGAAGAAAAGGACACCGAAAAAGAAGAGTCAAAAGGTTCCTCAATCTTTTCAGTCCAACAAAATGTCCAAGTTCGACGGAGCCACGGCCTCCGCACCGCGATCCCCGCGCACCCCGCCTTCCGCTCCGGGCCCGGACCCACAGCCGGCACCTTACAGCACCTGGTCCGCCCCACCCGGCACCGCGAACATTCTGACTCGCCAGTTAGCCGCCGTCGCGCTCATCGTTCTCCTCTACACCGCATCCATCCCCTTCACGCCTGTCGTCTGGGTGTTGAACGTGGAGGGGAGCTCCTTCATCGACCGCCTCTTCGCCGGCATCGTCATGCTCTCGGCCTGCTACTTCCAATGGCAGATTGCGGGCCTGACTCGCCCTCTTGCTATCGTGTTTCCCGGAAGCAGTGGCAGCGTCATTCGGAACGGTCGCATTGAGAGAGGCTCGACCATGGGATTTGTATGGCATCCGTCAAATTACTGGCCGTACATCATCTGCGAGGCGATGCTTCTGGCTCTGGCTGAATTCGGATCCAGCGAGATGCTGAGGAGGAGCATTGTCTGTGGGGTTGTTGCTGGGCTGTGGGCTGTTGGATACAGCGCGACGCCAGAGTCTACGAAGAGGTGGGCTTACGAGCACCTCAAAGCGTGGATGTTCTGGATGGTCTTGGATGAGATCATGCGAGTTGGTCGAAGCAGTGTCAGTGGGCGCCGTCGCCGGTATTAAAGGTCGCAGAGTCTACTCCTAGCACATGGTGTATGCGTGTGGATATCACGAAGACTCGTGCCATAGGGCAGCTGCCGGGGCGTGGGGAAACTTCACGTATTGTGGGAGACGCGGAGTATTCCTGGGACGCGGAGTAATCCTGTCAACAAAAACGTCAGATAGCACAACCGATCGTCTCAGTTTATTTCCAAAAGTCTTAATAAACAAACGTTAAACGTCTCAATGAGAGTTATGTCAGCTCAAAAGCTCTGCCTAATGTCGACATTGTCAGAACACTGTTAGAATACCTTTGCATCCTGTGCCGTCGTCTCTTTCTTCCCTTCTAACTTTTCTTCCGCCAGGCGTATCAGTTCAGCAATTGTCGGCTGCTGTGTCATGACGTCGTGTAAATACTGGGGTCTTCTTCAGACTACAGGGGAATACGACGCCGGTGTTCCCAGCAGTTGCCACCTCTAGGGTGCGCGCCCGCCATCAGCCCCATTGAAGCGTTCAACATGTGCGAGAGAAAGAAATTTGTCTCCATGTTCCAGATACAATGCATCAATCGGATTGCAAGTGCGTCGTCACTTTAGTCATGGAACACCTTGACCAAAAACCCCTTGTCAATTCAACGGCCAATGCGTCATCGCAGCGCCCAAAGTTGGCTTGACCACAAACTTCCGGCAGCAGCCGCTTTCTGCGAAAGTCAAAAGTATTGCCGAAACCGCGCGGTAAAGAGCGTGTTTACTGCCAAGTCTCTCAATTCTGCATTTTTCGAGCGAAGAGGGAAAGTTGCTCAATCAGTTCGTTGTCTCAACCGACGACCACTGACTCAAGGAAGTGGTTCCGAGTGCAGCTCTTTTTCCTCTTTCGGCGCAACACACGAATTATACTTTCTGCGCAAATGCACGACTCTCCACAGTATGGGACGAACATGCTGGGACTACGTACGCCTCATAGGCCGGAGATCAAGCTGGGCAGGTTCCGCATACCCGGGGGTCCAAGCGGCGCAGGCTAACGCTAGCCCCCCTACTCACGTAGGGGGCGAAAAAACAGGGTTTCTACGCAAAAAAGGGGGTTTCCACCCAGATCACTAAAAGTAGTATTTTTCAGTATTAACCTACTAAATTAATAACTTTTTATAATATAATTTTTAGCTTTAACTATATTATATAGTAATAAAAGTAGTATTATTATATTACTCTTAAGTAGGGCTATCTAGCTATATATATAATATCTATATATTTTATATAAGTATTAATATACTATAGAAGATAACTATATTATTACTTTCTATATTATTAATAATATATTTCTATTTCTTTACTACTTATATTAATAGAAGTATTATTAGAGGGTTACTCTTAGTAGTACTATAAGTATAAAAATATATTAAGCTTTTTTATATAGTAAAGATAAGCGCTTAGTATAGTACTAATATAGCTAATAGGGCTAGTATTAGTAATAATAGTAACTTAGGCTTATTAGTATTAATACTATTATTATTAACGCCTAAGTTACTAACTAAATTAACGCTTAAAGTAGTATTATTACTATCTTCCTTAATAAGGTTATTAATATTATTAAAGACTTTTAAGTTACTATTATTAACGTAGTGCCCTCTTAAAGCTAATAGATCTCTAATATTAAAGTAGCTAAAAGGCTTTATATAGTACTTAATAGCATTTTAACTCTCTTTTAGTAGTAGTATAAAGTTAAGATTAATCTACTATTTAAGTTTAAGTACCTTATATTATTATAAGTCTTTTAAGTTAAATATAATATAGTTATTAAATTTTTTAGTATATTTTAACTATAATATAAAGTTTAACTTCTTTATATATTTATTAATTAGTTAGTACTTATTAGTATTATACTTTACTTATAATACTTTCTCTTATTACTAAGTTTCTTTTTTTATAGTAATATATTACTATTTAAGCTCCTTTTTAGAAGCTTTAATTACTTACTTCTTATAATACTCTTTAATCTCTATAAATAATATACTAGTAATAAATAAATAAGCTAGTTTAACGCTTTACTAGGTCTACTACTTATATTACTATATCTCTATATATATATTATAGTTAATAATATACTCCTAACTTCTCTTATAGTATAGATTACTCTTACTAATTATAGCTTTAATTATTTTATATCCCCTTTAAATAGGAAAGCTTTATTTAGTAGTATAATATTACTTAATTATATCTACTTATAATATAGCTTTTTTAAACTTATTATTATCTAGTAAGTAGTAAAATAAGTAACTAAGAATATTAACTTAAGCTAACTATATATATTTAACTAATTAAGAGAGAATTATATTATTTCTAATTAACTAGATACTTAACTTTTTAAACCTTATTATAATATTAGCTAAAATAAATATAATATCTATTATCTACTAAAACTTACTAATAAAGTCTTTCTAAATAAAAGTGAAGTTACTATTTTATATAAACTCTTATAATACTATCTAATAAGCTTTCTTAAATAGCTAGAAAACCTTTATATCTATAAATTAAAATAGATATATAGTATAAGAGGGAAAAAAACTAATAATAATATTAAAGTTAATATAGTATTCTATAAGATCTAAGCTAATATAACTAGAGAAGCTATTAAGAAGGAGTAAATAATATAGCTTTATATTAGATTCTTCTTAGAGAATATCTCTATATAACTTAACATAAATACTTAGTATTACGCTATATATCTTAGGCTAATTAGAGTAATTTCTATATATATTAATATTAAACTATAACTTTATTATATACTTAAGCTATTAGAACTTTACTAATTACTTAAATAAATATATATTAAAGTGCTTAATATAATCTATTATAATCTCTTAATTAGAGAAAGTAGTAAGAGATTATATAAAGTAAATACCTTTATTAATATTATAATTAGCCTAAATAGTAATTAGTTATATCTTAAAAATAAAGTAAACTAAAATAATATTTCTAATAGTATTATTAATACTAATAAAAGTATATAACTTTCTATTAGCTAGATTAATAACTTCTTATAGTTTACTCTATTTTTACTATCCTTAAAGTAAAATAATATATATATAATTACTAAAGTAGCTAATATAGTAATTAGACTTATTAGTATTCTATATCTTAGAAAGCTTAAGTTTATAGTTTTAAATTATAACTTTATACTAATTAAAGAAGTTTTAGATTAATATTAGATTAAACTTAATATTTTTCTAGTAAACTTTAATAAGTTTAATCTTTAATCTTTTTTAGAACTCTAAATAATTAGATTTCTAAGATCTTATAAAGTACTCTAAAATAAAGCTTTTACTTTAGTTAGCTTAGAAAGTATTAGCTATCTCTTTAATAATAATTAGAGTTACTAAAAAACTAATAGTATTAAGCTATATTATAAATACTACTAAAGCTAAGTTTTTAGCTTCTATTACTACTTTTAGCTAGTTACTTTCTTTAAGTAGTATAAAGAAATTATAATTAGTTTAAAGAGTTTTTAGATATTTCTTAACTACTATATAAAATACTTTATAGTCTTTAGTAATAGCTTAAATTAATAATACTATAGATAGAAACTTACTAAAATAGCTAAAGTAAAAAGCTTAACGTTATATAGTATATAACGCTTATATAGCTTATTTAGTAAGTATTAAGTTAGTATTACTCTAGTAAAATATCTTAGTAGCTAAGATTAAACGAAATAATTAAAAAAAGCGTAGTTTTAAATTATAACGTAGTCTTAAAAAAAACGTTTTTTAGTAGTAAAATGAGAAAAATATAACTTTTATACGACTAGCTAGAAACCCCCTTTTTTGTGTAGAAACCCTGTTTTTTCGCCCCCTATGTGAGTAGGGGGAGTTTTGCGCTTGACGTGGCTGACTAACGCCCCCGGGTACTAAAGGGTGGCCTTCCAAAGGGGCGGTGGTGTCGCAACTTCTAGGGTCCATGCTTCCACTTGCGAAGATCGCTGTTTCCAGATGTTAAATGATCCCTGCAATGCTATGCTCCCCGACAGTCTCGAGGTGGGTACCAAGGGGTAAGGCGCATGACGATGTGGGCGGTCCATACCGACAGTCTGGATATAAAGGAGACCTAACACGGCTTGCTAGTCTTGCATCATTTCCTATCGATATCGCAACTTCGTTCGAAACTAGCGCCCCATTGTAACCTTGTCAAGAATCTCTCCGAAACAACACCAACATTGTCAAAATGAAGTCCTCCGCTGTTGTCGCCTTCCTGTCTCTCTGCCTGGCGCATACTGCCTTTGCTGCTTGCAGGACCCGCACCAATGAATGCGTAAGCACAAAATCCCCGATGATCTGACATGTTTGCTGATGAACCAAACTTCACAGTCTCCTCAATCCGTCTGCGATGCCATCGGCAAGCCTGGCGCTTTCCCTTGCGCCTCTACCGAGACCCAGAGCCCTGCCCAGTGCTCCCAGGCCGCCTCCCCCGGTGGTCCCACTTCCGTCAGCGTATGTCTCTCGTCCGATATCGACAATCCATACACGATTCTGATATTCTATCTAGTGCGAGTGCTGCGATCTGTAATCGGTCATAGCAGGACTCTTGCCGAGTTGGTGATGGTTTGATGCGACTTTGATAGATACCATTCTCGCTTCCTCATTATGCAGGACTTGAGATTTCGATAGTGTAATGTGCAACTAGCATGATAATGAACGAACTCATCGAGCCTGTGACAGTGTTTGTATTCTTCTCAGCAGTGAATGGAGTGAGAGAAAGCGCAAGACTTGTAAGCGACGCAACCTGCATATCAGCCTATCGAATGGACTTCAACGAAGAGGGCATCCAGAAGACCTATGCCCCCTTTCTCTATCAGTCACGCAGAGTGTTTTACCGATACTCAAGGCGCTACCATTCTGAACTGTCGAATGCAATGTTTGGATTCTGACCATCAGCTTCGACGTCTCTCGACTTAGACCTAGTGCAAGGCCTATGAAGTAGGCTTCAAAAGAACAGAGGATTACACGCATTAATATCAGGTAGGCTTTGAGGGTAACGAACGTTACGGTAGTATCTCAGATGCAGCCGAGCTCACTTCACTTTTCAGTTGACTTTGCTATCCCGGCGGACACCCCTAGGCTCTTGAACTAACCGGGCGGACTACTGCCTTACCTATGAATTTTGTCAAAAGACAATTCCCTTTATGATTATCACCATCGTTACTATCATAATCGTTATTGTCGTCCCTGCTATCTTCGTACTTATTACTGCTGCCATGCTGTTATCGTCATTTGCTCGCACAGCAAAAGCCTTTCAGTGATGCCTTAAAAGTGGTGTATTTTCTCAGTAATGATTTAAGCCAACGGTCAGCTCATAGTTGCGAAAGCATGGACGGGACGTCAAATATCTCGCTATCCAGGCCGTGATTAAAATGAGAGAACTTTTCCCGACATTCGTGGCGTGCAGCAGCGAGCGGCACAGGCGGCCGCGTTGGGATATTATCTGGAGAGCTCTGTGAAGCTTTCAATTACTACCTAGTATTTGGGAATAGTGCTAACTCTTTCAATGATGATCTCTGCCGAATCTGCTGATCGATACCTAGACAAAAGCATGATACTACTAGTTGATTTGCAATGCTTGCTGGAAGCACGATCAGCTACTACGAAGGAGTATTCTTGATTACCAATACTCAATGATCAAGTTTCGTGCATGGTCAATCTGACGCGTACGGTGTGAGAAGTCCATACCGCAGAAGACTGCCAGCAGCACTGGTCTCCCGTGAAACCCATGTCTAGTGTAGTGTTGCCGCCTGTACGACTTCGTTCGTCCTACTCTTTGACGCAGTCTTCACTGAAATAGTCATCCATGATGAAAATCGGAGACCGGGTGACCGGCTAGACAATTTACCGCGTTCTTCATCAGACTTTGGGTAAACCTCAGACGACGCACCTCAACAGTCTCATGGCATCAACTTCTGAGTATGGAAAGCTTGCCTTGAAGGGAAATTTCGTATTAACCGCGCAGAGAATTCGCCTCCACTCGAGCAAACCTTCGCAGAATGGAGATCAATATACTTAGTGCTTACAGCGTCGAACCGAACGGTAGACACAGCGTGACATCGCTCTGGCAATTGACAGAACGACCCGCCAATCAGCATAGCTGCTGACATGGACATGTCCCACTATCCGGCAGCTCCCTTGCGGCCGTCAACCGAAACCCATGTGTCTTACTGGGTTCATGACAGGGGTCCACTGGATGCTTACGGGGTTCAACACCACTTGTCCGAGGTGCCCTATGAGAAGCTACAAGGACGCGGAAGAACAGCCATCTCTGCATCGGACGGGTAGCCATATCTGCCGTGCGCCCGTGACTTGGCGGTAAAGTCGACATATCCCTACACGCACGCTACGAAAAATCATGCGCTTCAATTGGACAATGGGCTTCGTTCCCGCTTTGCGCTTGCGCAGTCTGAAGAATTGGCCGTCGGCAACTTCCCACTAGACGATGTTCGTTCTATGGACCGAAGGCAGGATACAGGGAGGGACGGGGGTCAAGCGATGTGCGGAGATGGAGTTTGGGTCTAGACTGGCGGGCCACTCAGTCAGGTCACGACTCTTAAGAGATCAGGGTGCCCCCAATATTTCGCTTCTCTCTCTTCTCCGGCTCGTCTAGGGAGAGCTCTCAGTCCCACACTCCAGGCAATCATGGACGTCTCGCGAAGCTTCAAAGCTACGGTCTTGGCTGCGCTCGTCTCAAGCCAACTGGCAATCGCTGAACCAGTTTCTGCCAAGTTCGCAAAGCGGAGCACTGCAGAGCTTGCAGACGCTTACGACTATGTCATTGTTGGCGGAGGCTTGAGTGGTCTGGTTGTGGCCAACCGCTTGACCGAAGATCCGGATGGTAAGTTGTTTGAATGAAGGAAGCCGAAAGCTTCCGACTTGCTAACAAATGACTGCGCTAGTCTCGGTTCTGGTCGTCGAGTACGGCGAATTCGACGGAAGTTGGGACGTCATGATTCCCTACTATGCTTCCAATACCCATCCCAACGACATGAGACAACTCCTGTCCATCCCGCAGCCCGGTCTGAACAACAGAACATCGGGAGTCCAGACAGGCACCGTTGTCGGAGGCGGCACAACGGTGAATGGCATGGCTTTCGACCGTGGCTCAAAGGCGGATTACGACGCTTGGGAAGAGCTTGGTAATCCTGGTTGGAACTGGGAAAGCCTCTTCGAATACTTCAAAAAGGTAAATGCGCCTCAATCCTGACTTCGCATGAGACTTGCAGCTGACGAGCGCCAACTTTAGTCCACCACGTTCCACCTTCCCGCACAGGAATATGTCGACAAGTACAACTTCTCCTTCGACCCGAGCACATACGGCGACGGCCCCATCCAGGTTGGCTTCCCGTCCTGGCAGTGGCCTGACGTAGGTTTGTTGCATGTTGAATGCGGTATATGCGAGAATAGAATGTGCTAATGAGGTCACAGGAATCCAAAGAAACGCGTGGATCAATGACCTCGGATTGCCTATTCTCAATGATCACGGAGCTGGCGGCAACAATGTTGGAGTTGCTCAACTGCCCCAAAACTCCGAAGGAAAGAATGTCACGCGTTCCACTGCTCGAACAGGCTACTACGATCCCATCGCAGGAACTCGTGCGAACATGAACCTACTCATCAAGCACTACGCTTCCAAGGTGGAGTTCGAAGACAAGAAGGCGATTGGCGTCAACGTTGTTTCCCGCGATACCGGAGAAACCTCCCTTATCAAAGCCAACAAAGAGGTCCTGCTTGCTGCTGGCGGGGTGCAAACCCCACGAATCCTTCAGCAAAGCGGTGTAGGACCCGCTGCGTTGCTTGAGTCCCTCAACATCGAGGTGGTTGCCGATCTTCCTGGGGTTGGTGCCAATTACCAAGATCATCCCTGGATGCTGATGTTGTACAACTGTGAGTATTGGAGCATCTTGCTGCTGGAACGAAAAGACTGACTCTTCTCTAGATGGCAATCCCCCTGAGCTTGGTAGCGATGCAATGAACGATCCCGCGTTCTTCAATGCCTCCGAGGCCGAATACTTTGCTAATCGCACTGGACCATTCACCCACGCACGTGGCAACAACATCGTCTTTTTGTCGCTCCAAGATCTCACTCCTGAGTACGAGAACCTCACTGCCAGTATCGAAGCCCAAAATGCCGGGGACTTCCTCCCCGAGATCTACAGCAAGCATCCCGAACTAGTTGAAGGCTTCCTTGCGCAACGAAAGGCTCTTGCTAAGCTCTACCGCAACCCCGAGGCAGGCGTCCTCGAAGTACCCTTCGGAGGCTTTGCTGGAGCAGGCATCGCCTTCCAGAAGCCTGTTTCACGTGGCACAGTCTCGATCAACACCACAGATCCGGACCCTGCGACGACACCGGTCATCGACTTCGGTGTTCTCCAGAACCCTGCCGATCTTGAGATGCTTGTGTTGAGCATCAAAGCCATGCGGAAGTTCATGGGCAGCAAGTCAATTTCCGTGCGCCAACCTCTGGAGATTCTTCCCGGCGCGAACATTACCAGTGATGCAGCTATCGCCGAGGCAGTGAAAAACTCTTTATACGCCAGCTTTGCTCATCCAAGCGGTACCTCAAGCTTACAACCCCTGGAGCATGGCGGAGTGGTAGATCCCACGCTTCGCGTCTATGGTCTTGAGGGACTAAGAGTGGTGGACGCCAGTGTCATCCCGTTGATCCCCGCTTGCCATCTGCAATCCACCGTATACGCCGTGGCTGAGAAGGCTGCGGATCTCATCAAGACTACTTGAACGTGGCTGTGGAAAACGCATGTTCACCGCCATCATGTGTGTTGGCGCCCGGCGGATAGGGCAGTCATGGCGAAACATGATTCAGGGGAGGTACCGGTGCATAGGCAAGTCTTTGTGTAAAAGTCGAAACAAATACAATCACCCACTTTGCTCCCTAAACTTCGTTCCAAAGAACCCAAAAAGGGTTGGCTGATGCGCTGCCCAGCGAATGGCTTGAAGGCCTGCTCGACTTCACAGTAAGCCACATGAAGTCATGGCAAATGCAAGGGCTCGGCAGATCGAAAGGTTCGAGATGATTTAAGTGATAAAGCTGAAATAGACTCATCTTCATGCAGACAAGCTCTGTATATATTTACATTGGACGCCCCAGGCGATGCAGTACCCCGTCTGTCTGTCCGTTAAAGGATTCCAACATCCTTTGCGGCATTGGATACAGGATAATTCACGACCAAGGTGAGATGTGCACGTCACCAGGAGCCAGGTTAGCCGTATGTCTCACGGAATCTTCAACAGTGCAGGTGAGACAAGATAATGAGACACTGGATAAGCCGAGTACCGGTGCCCGAGTCTATTCTCCGCATTGGTGAAAGCCTTCCGTTTCCGGAGGTCTGCTCCCAGATCTAGGCTTTCCTAGCCTACTTCCTCCATAATTCTTTCACATTCATTGGGTGTCGCTGAATCGTCCGGTGACCATTTGTGATCTTTGAACGGAAGCGGACATCATCCCCGCGGCGGCTTCCCTCTCCCATTATCTTAACACCGATGAAAATCTCACGCATAAGAAGCGCTTTGTTCAATCCATGGATGATCTGAGGCTCGCGCCGGTGCACCAATGCTTGTACTGTCTCGTTTCCTCCGGCGTAAGCCACCGAGGCAGTGTCTCGGTCGCCACTTTTGCCAGGAACTTAATCCATGCATAGATATTGAGAGTCAGCCCCACGACCCTGTCTTGTAGTCTCAACGTCATTTTCGTTCGTACACGACTCTCGGAGCCGAAGGAATCATGAGGAAATCCCACCTCCTCGCGGCGTTGGCTGCCAGCGCGAGAATGGTGACCGGGTTTGGCTATTCGAGCTATCCAAACTGCGCAGTAGGTTTCGAGATTCTCTGATGACGTACGAATATGGCTAACATTTTGTCAGGTAATCTGTGTGATGGACGCATTGCCAAGGTCGCCATGCCGCACGCTCGACGCCGCTTGCCTCTGCGCCGACACCACTTTCACAGATCTAGTCGCGCCTTGCATCAAGGCGAACTGCACAATGGCAGAGCGTTTGGGTGAGAGACCTTCAGCTTAGCAGGGGCAGAGTTGTTGCTAATGTTGGACGCAGATTCCGTGAGAGTTTCGGCAACTGCATGTGGGGTGACAGTTGCGGACAACACGGCCCTTCCGCGTTATCTCACTGGCATACTGTTTGCCTTGCCAACTGTGTTCATCGGCATTAGAATACTAAACAAAATCCTAAATCCTCTTCCTTGGGGCGCAGATGATTTCATGGCGATCACTGGATACGTCAGTTGGCCCACTATGATATTCTCCGGGACTTTGCTGATGCAGACAGCGCAGGTTTGCACTATTCCTTTGGTGCCCTTGATCTATCGATGTGAGTGATTCAAAAGATCGCGCTGTTGTAAAGTTGAACTGACCGTGCTGAAGCCCTGGATATTGGTCTCGGGGATCCTGTCTGGACAGTTGCGCCCACCAAAATGGTGGAATTCCTTCAGGTAAGCAGCAGCTTGATCAAACAATCACCGTGAGGTTTCTGTTGGAAAAGTGCAAAAGCTAATATTTGACATTCTCAAGATGCTGTTTGCTACACAAATCCTCTATGTTGTAGGGCTCATGACCCTCAAAGCATCAGTGCTGTTCTTCTTTCTTCGAATTTTCCCAACACGCGGCTTCCGAAAGATCATTTGGGCCACCCATGGTCTCAACTTCCTCGTCGGGCTCATTTACATAATTCTGACCTTTGCGCAATGCCGGCCCCTTTCACTGTATTGGACAGGATGGGATAAGAATGAGAGCTACAAGAACGAGAGGTGCCTCGACTTCAACAAATTCATCCTGTCACACGCCATCATCAACATCATCCTAGACGTCTGGATGCTGATTCTGCCATTGACGCAGCTTTACAAGCTGAATTTGGTTTTACGGAAGAAAATTGGAGTCATGCTGATGTTTAGCGTGGGATTATTGTGAGTTAACATCGGTCAAACACTCCCCTTCATCACTAACAAATCCCAGCCTTACTGCCGTCAGCGCCATTCGAATCCACACAATGGTACGCTTCATGACAGATAGCAACGTAACATGTAAGTCTGAGTCCGCAAGTCCGCGTCATGCTCATTTGAGTCGCTGACCGAAGTCTTAGCTCAAGCACTTTGGGTCTATGTCTGGACGTTCACCGAGCTCTGCGTTGGCGTATTTGTTGCGTGCATGCCAAACGCCGGTCAACTGTGGAGAACACTGTTCATGAAGCCAAAGGCAAAGGCGATTGGAGAGTCCAAATCCAGACGACACTCTGCGTATGGAGCAGAGATGGTCTCGTTACCGCAACAGAGTCAGAAGCATAGAGAAAATTCGGTCGCGTCATGCAGTGAGGGATCAGAAAACGCTGTTCCACAGTCTACTCACTCGCCGGTCTGACACCTTCCGGCGCATAGCGTTGTACATACTCATCGATTGATGATCCCAGATAGTGATACCTATAGAAAGTCCAATTAGGAGCTTTCCTCGTCATCGCTACGCTTCTTGTTCAAGTCACGATCCACCACATCGTCGAGCACTGCCAATCCTTCCCTCTCGGCGCGAACTCTTGCTCTCTTCAACCGACGAGTATCCGACTCCGTCTTCCTCGTAACCCACCACGTTATGCAGGTGATGATGGCACAACAGCCAACTAACGCCATTGCAGCAGCAAAGCTGGTCTGATAACGCGGCGCGTACTTCGATCTGAAAATTTGAGGGCCGATGGCGCCACCAATCTGACCATAACTGTTCACAAACCCGATACTGAACGCAGATCCTGTAGCTCTAGATGTGGTTTGCACTCGCCAGGGCCACATCAGCGGGAAGAAAGCGGCAGTGAAGGCATTTCCAATGAGGGTCGCAGCATAGACGGCGCCGTTGGAGGGGTACGCAACGAGAACTCCGTAACAGGCAAGAATGACGGCGAAAACTCCAAGAGGGTAGAGAGGCCTTGGTATGAGACCCTTGTCTGCGAAGAAACCGGTGACGCCAATGACAAAGATTGCTAGTATTGAAATCGGCAGGTTGAGCAGCTGAGCCCTGGCAATCGTGGTGAACCCGAGGTTTGCGATAACGGTAGGCTGGTAGAAGCGGACTCCAGAAGTGCCGACGGTGAAAGTAGCCCAGATGGCAGTAAAAAGCCAGAGTCGACGATCCTTAAGCGAGTCAACAATTTCGCTCCAATTGAAGTTCATCTCCTCGGCCCTCGGTGCGTTTGCTGGTAGTCGGGCCTGGATGAAGGCCTTTTCCTTGTCGCTCAACCATTTGGCGGTCGGTGGGACTATCTGTGTCAGTACGTGGTCTTTGATTTCGAGGGGGTCAACGGAACCTACAATCAGGAAGTAAGAAGTAGACAGCTGTTCCTAGTACGATGGTGATAAGGCCTTCCACCAGAAATAGCCTGGAGATGCTGTTAGTGCTCTAATCATTTTAGTTGAATTACTGATACCATGACTCACCACTGCCATCCTGAAAGCCCTCTGCTACCAGAAACCGTGTCGAAAGCAAAAGCTAGAATGCCGCTGAAGATCCCAGACAGATTTCCTAGAACATCTCCGGTATTCGTCAGCTTTAGATTCGGCTACTTGTTCCAGGGCCCTTCACTCACAGAAATAAAGTAGACGGATGGACATTTCATCGGGTCTGTACCAATACGTCATCTGAAGAATGACTCCTGGGAACATTCCAGCCTCAAACTGTAGGATTAAAAATTACCATCAATCTCGTTGGAAAGTTTCAAGGGTTACATACTGCTCCGAGTATGAACCGTGTTGCATAGATGCCGCCCTTGTTGCTGACGGGCACATGGCAAAGCAGAGCAATGCCCCACGAGATCATGATTCTTGACTGCCAAGCACTCGGTCTGAACTTCTTCAACAACAGGTTCGAAGGCGCTTCAAGAACGATGTATGGAACCTTTTTGCGTCAGCAATATCGCACCTCTCACGTCCAGGGACGCATCTTACATAGTACAAAACGTTGAGCAAATTGTACTCATCCGACGTCATGTCCAACTGCGTCATGATGTTCCTAGAAGTCCCCTTGTTCATGATTCGCGCGTTTGATATGTTATCGGCGTCAATGTTCTTCATCAGGAACAACAGCGAGCAAATTGTCATGATGCGGAAGTCGACGCGCCTCATGAGGGCCTTCTCCTCCGCGGCAGTGAGAAGTGACCGCGCCCGCATGCGCTCAGCATCGAAGCCGGATACATCGCTGACTGCCGTAGTCTCGTCCACTTGCTCTCCGCGCCTGGCAAATGTCAGCCCGTCGGATTTGCTGGGCTCGCCTTGGTCTGGCAATGACTGGGTCGGCGTCGATATGTCTTTTGAGTCGGCCATATTGGGTCAATACGATGACTCTGGTATCAAGAAAGCTTCAACATAGAATGCAAAGGTCGGGTCATGAGAGTGGGAAAAACATTGCCGTTCGAGTTTTGATGGCATGGATGCTAACCTCATCGATTTGGCGATAACCGACGTGCCAAGAAATGCATCATCCTCAAAATCACAATGACCAACGGAAATAAGCCGAGCTCAGATACAAATCCCGATCATGTCATCGAATGCTAGAATCGCGAGCAAAGTTTATGGGAGGGGATGATTCGCTGCCGCTTCTTCAGCGTGGGATGCAGCAGGCGTTTGGGCTGCAACTCCGCCATAAATCCTCCATTTCCCTCATGAACAATCCTTTCGTGGGGGCCGTTCAACCAGGGCAATGGGCATCCAAACCGCAGCTGTTGTCATTGAGTGAGGTTGGTTGCAGTGAGCGGGCGACGTCCGACGACAATCCTTGCATTCGCAATCGGACCCCGCGATGACGAGATGCGGATGCCGTACCCCATGCACACCCATTCCCACGACGGCGGGCCGAGTACAGAGAAATTGTATCTGTCGGACATTAAATAGTGAACGGCTCAACGATGCTTTTGTGGGGTTATGAAGAGGCCGAACGGCGAATCGCATGAAGTCATCTCGAGGGACAATTCCAACCTAAAGTCTTAGTATTCTATCGTGAATCGTGATCAGAAAGCCCGACATGGCGGCTGCAGTCCAACGAGCACCAGCTAGCGAGCACGAGACCTCGTTGCCTGTGTATCATCAAGTCCCCGAGACAAAATATGAACGTGAGTATGCATGGAGATAGCTTTCACCTGGAAGTCCTTCGCTCATACCTTAGCTTGCAGTGGAATGGGCAGATCTTGTAACTCTGGATCTTTCCAAGTTCGATCGAACGGGCGGCAAGGAGGCGTTAGCCAAACAGCTATTTGATGCCATTCGAAATATTGGATTTTTCTATATCGTCAACTTTGGACTCAGTCAAGAAGAGGTAGACCGTCAATTTGCCATCGGCAAGTCCGTCTTTGAGCTGCCAACTGAAGAGAAGCTCAAGTACCGAGCTGACCTCGAGAATGGGGGTTATAACGGCTACAAACCGCTGGGTATCAGGGTAAGTTGGCTATGCTCAGAACGATTGACGTGCCACTCACAGGAGTGCCTCCAGGAAGTCCGTCCCGGTGTGTTTGACAACACCGAGATCTTCAACATCCCCAAGTTCATCCCAGCCTTTGACCGTCCTCAGCCAAACGTGATCAACGAGAACAAGGGGGAGATCGAACACTTTGCTCGCCACATTCACAACAATATTGTGCAGAAACTTCTCACTCTCTTCGCAATTATATTGGAACTTCCAGAAGATTACTTCGCGGGCCGACACAGATACGACGAGGCCCTGTCAGACTGCCACCTGCGATACATGAAGTATCACGCGCGCGATGCTGAGACAAATGCAAAGCTCGAGAACGTCTGGGTCAAGGGCCACACTGACTTCGGAAGCCTGACCCTTCTGCTCCGACAACCCGTCGCAGCGTTGCAAGTTCGTGGGAACGATGGCAATTGGAAGTGGTAAGTTTCCGGCCTATGCACTTCTTCGAAGACATAGCTAATCTGATGTGACAGGGTCAAGCCGTATGATGGAAGCATCACGGTCAACGTGGCAGATGCTCTGGAGTTCCTCACCAATGGCTTCCTCAAGAGCAGCATCCACCGAGTTGTGGTGCCGCCTCCTGACCAAGCTGGCATTGATCGCTTGGGCGTTCTCTACTTTGTTCGTCCCGAAGACAGTCTTGAACTGAGACCGGTGCAAAGTAAAGTTCTTGAGAGACTGGGATATGACTCAAATGCCAACTCGGAGTTGGCTGGTATCACCGCAGGGGAGTGGGTCAAGGCTAGAGTTCGGGCGGGCGTCAACAGAAACAAGCAAGCGAGAAGCGAGATCTCTGAGCAGGAGATTGTAAAAGGTGTCAAGGCTAAATACTACGACTAGCCAGAAATCCGACGGAGACAAAGCGTGTGAAGAGGAATCTTTATTGGTCATCGGTGACGTACTTATCAAACACATCCGCATAAAACTTCTGTCCAACATCCCGATGACTCCGAATCTTCGTCCGCAATTGATTCTCACCCCACGTGTCATACTTGCCCTTCAGAAAGGCCGAATCGATCTCCCTTCCTTCATCGGACTCTAGCGATAAACCTCTGATCTCGGGCTTTTCGAAATGTGCTCTTAACGTCCCAACAGCCTCCTCTTTTGTCAAGTCCCGCCTGACACCCTGGAAGAAGGGCACGCTGAACCTCTCTAAAGAGCCAGAAATCACGCGATGCGTCGTTGCCTTGCAGACTCCATTCGTAACAACCTCAAAGGCCTGGCCGATGTTCACGACGAACGACCCTGGCAAAACAGGCACATCGATCCAGTCGCCGTTCTTGTTGAGTGCCTGCAGGCCCTTGATATGCGGCGGAGAAGCTTGCAGTAAGAACGTCCACCATCCCGAGGAGTCTTTGTGAGGCCCAACGCCTTGGCTTCCCGCCTCGCTCTCTGGTAGTCCTGGGTAGTGAACCAGCTTCAGCCGATGCTGGTCCGATAGGAACGGCAGAAAGGTATCTGGTGGCAGCGAGAGCGCCTTTGCAACCAGGTGTAAGAATCTCTCGCCGAGTCCTGTCATCTCAGCGATGTAGGCCTCGATTATCGGACGCAGTTCGGGAAAACCAGAAGGCCACTGCACTCATCAGCCAAGATCAATCCTCATAGCAGCGATTACCTACCTGGTTAGGGCCCCTCAGTCGTTCTCGCAGAGGCACACCCTCCCTCCACACATTTTCAAGCTCAGTCGCGAACTCGACTTGCTCTCTACGATCACTCTTCCCAGCAGTAGTCTCTGACCCATCCCCGCTATATCCCAAGAAGTGCGGGGAATTCCTCAGGGCAATCTCATCCTTCGCTTCGGCGGGCAGCGCGAATAATGTTGGCAAGGCTTCGACGACATTTGATATCGTTGTTTGAGGAACGCCGTGGTTGATAACATACAAGAAGCCGACGTTGATGAGCGCATCCCGGAGTTGATCGAGAAGAACCG